TCTTCTGGGTGGATTGTTGTGTATTCGCGAAGGAATCGCCTATTTCTGAGGATCACTCTTCCAGAATGAAACATTCTAATTCTATACTGCCGATAGGGTAACACTTCTACGATTCTGTCAGTATGCTCCCATCTCTTGGTTTTCCCTTGCACGACCACATTGGTGCCAAGAACAAGGGGCCGAAGCTTGCGTGCTGTAGTATCATGGTTCTTGACCAAGATGTGATTTCGCTTGCTGAGTACTTTTTCACGCTCCTCGGCTGTAAGGACCCACTCCTTATGGGGCTGATAGTGAGCAGGATGGGCTGGAATACTGTCACGTAGTTGACGGTGAAGCAAAATTTGGGCAGGGCTCAGCTCGATATCTGGTAATGGAGTGTTACGATACTGGAGTATGGCGCGAGCAGCCGTATCGGTGTTAAGTCCACCATCTGACGAGCGGTTGTTGTGAATAATGCGTTTAGCAGCCTTAACAGCCACTTCTGCTCTTCCATTACTTTGTGGGTAGGATGCTGATGAAAGCCGATGATTGACGCCCCATAACTTCAGGAATTGCTGAAAAGCTTCAGCAGTGAACTGTGGGCCACCATCGGTGCTCAGTTCTTCAGAGACGCCATAAGCGATAAAAAGGTCGCGGAATATGTGCTGGAGAGTCCGATGATTGACTTCGTGTGCTTTGAATGCATAGATGCAAAGCCAGCCGCTGAATCGATCGACAACCGCGAGATATGAGTGGCCCTCGATTTGAAAATAATCGGCACACACTTGTTGAAATGGGTAGGATGGACTTGGAGTTAGCACTAAAGGTTCCGCATGATGGGAGGGTGCATGTCGAATACAATCTTGACAGGTTTCACGGTGGATTTGTATACTTCTGTCCATGCCTGGCCAATACACACACTGGTATGCACGGAATTTCATGCCTGTCGTGCCTTGGTTTGCTGAGTGTAAATTGCTCAGGACAACGTTTCTGAGTTTCGCAGGAATGATCAGGCGTTGATCTAACAAGGCAACACCTTGGAAGGTTGAGAGGCGATGGCGGACTTCCCAGTACTTACGCATACATGCTGGTTCCACTAAGTTGCGCTTCCCAGGAAAGCCGCGAGCAATGAACTTTAGTAACGTCTGATATTCAGTATCTGATCGAGCAGCAGAAACAATATGATCAAACGTAACACTACCAATCTGCTGAAGGGCACAAGCACTGGCCATGTGAGGAGCATCTTCGACGTTGCTGCATTGCATCATATCATAATCTGAGACTTGTTCCCGGATGTCTTGGAGAGCCGCGGCAATTGTTGTTGGATATCTGGATAGTGCGTCGGGACCCTTGGTCCACTTGCCCGGACAATGAATGATAGAAAACCGCCATGGAAGTGTCTTCTCCTTAAGGCGTTGTACTCGCGGGTTGCAGATCCGATCCAGGGCGCGGTCGTTGAGGATCCCTAGTAGCGGCTTGTGGTCAGTTGTGACTACAAGGTTAGGGCACCCCAGAGTGAATAGTCTGGAGTGTTCAAGGGACCAGGCCACTGCCAATGCCTCACCCTCTGTGGGTGCATAGTTGCTTTCAGCAGGATTTGTGAAACGAGATCCTGCGTGGATAAGTTTCCAACCATTTTCGCAACAAACAGGAGACACAATAGCACACCGACAATGCTTTTGTAGCAGAAGGTAACCGACCCCGTCTTTACTCCAATCTGGTTGGATACAGGTGGTTCGGGAGATGTCGTACGATTGCACCCCGTCTTTCACAAGGTCGATGAGGACGGACTTGGATGACTCAAACAGAGTATCTAAGGTATCGTCCCAGTAGAACTTTTGATTTGGTTTAATAAGCTCACAGAAGGGTTGCATAATGGGGCTGATAGCATGGGCCCAAGCGACTTGATTCACAAGTCCAAACCAGGATCTTGCACTGGTAAGGTCGGTTGGTCTAGGAAAATCACAGATCGACGACAAGGTTTTGGCAGAAGGGGTGACTCCAGTGGGAGTGATTGTCAATCCGGCGAAGTCGACCGTGTTTTGGCAAAATTTGAATTTCTTAGCATTAACCACAACACCATTGTTCGCACAAAGTGTAAGATAGTCCCACATGTGATAAAATGCTTGCTCAATTGACTGGTCGTATAAGAGGGTATCATCAACGATCTTGACTTTCCGCGCGACACCGTCTATGATTTCATCGTAACGGCGTGTGTATGCGTCACCTGCGGCTACAAACCCTTGAGGCATTCGTAGGTACATAAACCTACCCCACTCTGTAATGAACGTGGTTAAGGGTTGGCTTTCGCTATCTAAAGCCACAGAATGAAAGCCATCCACGGCATCAACAACAGACTTCTTGGTGTGTGCTGGTACTTGGGATGCCAGTTGGAATGGAGTAGAGGTGTGGTGAGTTTCGCGTTGACACTGAGCGTTCAGTCGCTGGAAGTCGATTGTGCGTCGTGGAGAACCATCTTCCTTAGAGACAACGACCATCGGGCTACACCATGACACAGGGCTTCCAATAGGTACTGGGGCAATGATGCCTCGTTGGACATCTCTGCCTAAGCTCTCCTTGACCTTGGCCTTCCAGTGGTGGGGAACTGGGATGGGTGTGTGTCGAGCGTAAGGGACAGCATTAGGTTGCAAGTGGATATGAGCAGGCGGGCCAGATAAAGATGGGAAAGGTGGTGAGTTGTTGAAGGCGGTGCTTGCAAACTGCTCTCGAATGTAGGCTTCGAGCTTGGGGACATTTTCTGGCGTAGCAGGATAAGGGAGCTGGGGCGGTGGTTTAGGCGGTGGTGGACGTGGTTGTGCAGTGGGAGGAGTAGAAACTGCTGAAATCGAATTAGCCATTGGTTGGGGGTACTGTGGAGGTAAGATTCTTGTTTCAATACATCCCTGCTTACTAAAATACAGGCGATCGACCTTGTTGCAAATAAACAAGGGCTGAGTAGTAGCATGTCCCTCTATCTCAAACTTGACAGGGATCCAACCGGTGCATGTGAGAATGGAGCCACCGACTGTTTTAACACGTTTGTTACAAGGGCGAAGCTGGTGGGAAGTTAAGCCCAAATGGGTAAGCTGTTTTGGGCCAGCTAAGCAGATATTAGCACCACTGTCAGGAAAGATATGAAGAGGAACAGTTGTGGCCCCTTTCATATCAGGAGTTAGGTGGGCTTGAATTTCTTGGATTGCGTTAGCAGAAGTGAAGGTATCACCATCAGTTTGGTATTTCACATGTGCAATGAGTCCACTGGCTGTGCTGGGCTGTCGGCATACGATAGACATATGATTCGGACGCTTGCAGGAGTTACATGTCTTTCCCCATGCGGGACAATGGGAATGACGAGGAGGCATGCCAGGGATGCCACGGTCTTTGCTACCACAACCATTGCAAGTTTGGTTAGGTGGGAAGTTCGGTTGCTTTTGCTTGCAATATGGCGAAGCTCGAGCGGCGTGAACGTCAGCAGAGTGTTGAAATTGAGATTGGTCACGAAGGGCAGTCTCAAACGCCTCGGCATGCTTAACAATGTCCTCGATAGTCTTGAGGTTGCCAGCCTTGGCTAGAATGTCTGTCTGAAGTTGTACGTTGTGTAGCCCACGGATAAACTGATCCCTAATGTGCATTGCTGAAATGTTTACAGAGCACGTAGGGCAAGAGAACTCACAGTCAATAGCGAGAGTTCGTATGCGAACTAAGAAATCTTGGATTGACTCAGACTCATGCTGTGTTAAATTACCAAAGTTCATTCGATGCACGACGGGATTAGCACGTTTCGTCACAACACTTTCGATGGTCTTAAGCATTTGGTCCTCAGGCAACTGTAAAAACTTTGGGAAGGAGTTAATGAGTGTATTCTGAACGGATTCATCACAAGTGCTGTATAAATGCGAGGCAAACTCTGAGGTAGGTAGGCGAGTGATTTTCTTGTATACGGTCCAATCAATGAGGAGCTTTCGAAACTGAGGATGTGTCATGTTAGAACTCACTGAAGGAAGCTTGATGGCGGCGGGTGGAGGCTTGAACTGTGCGGCTGTAGACGTAGTACTTTCGACGTGCGGTGCTTGCAGAGCTGGAGAGGAGAGGCAGTCTGGATATGACCAAGAATTGCTAAAACGTCGCCAAGAACGGTAATGTTTATTGCCGTTAAGTGTTCTACAGTTAGCTGAGATATTGTTGCTTCGGTTAATTGATTTTCGACTAGTATTGTAGCGTATTTAGCCGCGATTTCATCCGGAATACTAGCTGCCATGAGAAAAGTCTTCCATGCAGGTTCGTCTCGAAGTCGCAGCGCCATATTTAAGATCAATAATCGACAAGATTCATTCAAACAAAGCTTTATTCGATAAACAAACGAACAGCTAAAAACTAAAGCATGTGGTGTCCGCCATTACGCATCTGAATCCCCTATACTTCATGTAATAACATTATAAGTGAATCAACAACAACTATAAACATAATAGCAAATATTAAGGTATTGTTCAGGTGGGGGTGGGGGGTCGGGGTTTACATTGACTTATGCATAAAAATCTGCTAGATTTTAGCAGATCATGTGACCAGCGTCCATCAGGGTCTTTTCTCGCCAAGAGGTAAGACCCTGGGTACAGGGTTGGGTTATTTACTCATGAATTGTCTGGCATTAGACAGAGTTAATACTAAAGCAGGGACTGCTTCCATGCACATCATTTAAGAATAAGTTTGTGATTGGGCTTAAACGATTAATGAGAAACAAATTTGTGCAGGAAACATAGGGGATAAAACCTTCATGTGAGGCCTGCCATGCTGTCACAGAATAACAATTTAATCAGAAGCTCCACATTACACTTGTTTAACTATCTGAAACAAGCATACAAATTTATACAAATTGCTAAACAAGTGTAATCAGCTTTTTGATATGTCGAGAGTGGGACTTCTTGTTAAATTGTTATTCTGTGATGGTACCAATAATAAAACGGCTTACTGTAGTTTACGAAACTGTAGTTTACGAAACGAAACGAAATCTGCAGTTTGCGAAATCTGCAGTTTGCGAAATCTGTAATTTGCGAAATCTGCAGTTTGCGAAATCTGTAATTTGCGAAATATCTGTAGTTTAGGGTAAATAAAAAATGTTCACATGTTCCGAGGGCGAGGCGTCAAAAGTACAATTAAATTCTGTGCAAGCCACCTAATTAATTAAGAACCTACCTGACTACACGAAGTCATAATTGCGATAAAACGTTATCACAATAAATTGCTTTACTTGTATTAGTTATATTTCAGTGGCAGTGTCAAATAAACTTCTTTATATAATTATATGTCTGAGACTGCAAAATGTAAAAGTTTAAGATTGAAAATACACCATTGCCAGCAAATTGATTGGAAATTTTGCCCTGACTATGGGATTTTCCCGGAAATTCTTCAGATGGTCAAGTGGATCGCAGCCGCGAGGTTTGACATAAAAATGTTGGTGATCGCATCGAAAACTTTCGAAAAGGTAAACTTTTTTTTACTTTCTGCTATATGTTTTCGCAAACTGCAAATTTGAATAGCAATCTATCTAGAGATTTCGCAAACTGCAGATTTCGCAAATTACAGATTTCCCAAATTACAGTTTCGCAAAGTGCAGATTTCGTTTCGTTTCATTTCGTTTTGTGTACAGTAAGCCTAATAAAACATGGAAATGAGGCCATCAGCTCAAAATTAAACTTCCCTATACAGAATTGTCTAGAAGAAAAACGTATAACCATTCCTCTTGAACAACTTTCTGCCATTGTCCAAATTGTTGCATTCTTCCACATTGGCTACAAGCCTTCAATCATAACTTGTGGTAAACACATGGTAGCCTTGGTTTCTTTTGATTCACTAATTTCCCTCAAAGCATGCATTTACTTATAATATCATCATTAACTAAACCATACCAGTGAATGCTCCAGCAAAAAATATTAATTCATTCAACTCTTCAAATATTTTATAAAATAATTTTATAAAAAATATCAACTTTACAGATTTTAAAGTAACTATATGTCAACAATGTAAGAATAACAACAAATTTCAAACATTTTTTGTTCCAATAATGGAAATCAATGCTTCTTTTGTGGTCAACTCCATCACAGTTGGCTCTACCTCGGCTAATTCTCCCTCAAAATCAGGAAAAATCTTTTGCTGTATATGTGCAGAGTTCCTTGTTATCATTATCTATTTTCACTCTCTGATTTGTGAAGACATACGTTTTGTTGACTTCAAGGTTGTCAGCCCACTCTTCCAAAAAAAACGCACTTATTGATCCAGTGGGATCAACCAAAATGGCAGAAGATTTTGTCAGTGTTTTGTTTTCAAGCTTAATGGTTTTGCTTCCTGAAATCTGGCTTACAGTAGCTTTGTTGTTACTAACTGCTGTGGTATTTCCCAAAGCTTCGTCATTTTGAATGGCAGTGCATCTGGCTGGACAGTTACAGAGCTGTTATTCTTGATGACAACATTGCTAAATTTCTTGTTGTATTCAAACTTGGTAAGCTTGATTGGACTCCTGTTTTGCATTGTTGACTTCAATGGTGTATTTTTATTGGGGGGAAAAGCATACATTGCTTTAAGCACCAATGCATTTTCCGATGTCTGCAATTGGCATGTGGTATATTTCACTTTCCTTGAATTGTGGACAGGTGTGACATTGTGAACATAACACAATAGTTCTTCACCAACAATTAAAGGGGGGGGGGGGTGAATAGCTTTTGGATCATCGGATTCCACCAAAAAAATTGTTCGGATTTTGCGAACAAAATACAAATAGGGGCAGCACAGGGGCAACAGGTTGCCTTTTTTGCCAGAACTGCACCTCGAAATATGTGCATTATTCGTAGAAATTGGAATTTAGAACTATTTTTAGCAATGTTTAAAAATGCAATACAGTCCTTTGTAAACAAAGGCTTTGTTTACATTTCAGTATCCAAAATTTAGAATTTTATTCTAAAACTATTTATATTTTCATGATTCTAGAATATGATAAATTATCAAGACAAAACAATCAAGCTTTGCAAGAACATAAAATGAAATAAAAACCTCGATCTTTTGTGCACATACGGAGATCGGACTGTACAGCATCTTTATGCAATCTTTAGCACGGTGCAACAAATAAAATTGTTCAAAATTAATGTCGAAGTTTGCCGACCCATAATAGCCACAAGTAATTGAGTATCCAAACAGTAAAGTTTTAACAAATATTGCTGCCCAGAAAAATGAAGTGCCCTTTTAAAATGGCTGACGCTTTGGTTTCTCAATCATCAAACCAACAGCGAATGGTCTCACAAAGTCTTCTGCCATAAAATGTCTTGAGCATATTTTCAAGGAAGCCGTTGTTCAGTCTCTTTCATTTAACAAAATCAACCCCTAATTTCAACCCACCCTGTCAACATTCCCTGTATGAGGAATCTGGATCGGAGTACCCGGAAAAACCCACGACTTTCGATAAAGCTCATAGAATCTTCACATTTCACATGCACGAATATCTTGAGCCGCGGTAGCTTGCGTAGCAGGCGTTTGGTGCGGGCGGGAGAAGAAAAGGCGTTGTTAAATGAACGCCTGCCCAAATGCCTATGATTAATTTGTTCTTCTCCGAAGAATCTTCGGAAAAGCTTCCCATTGGTTAATCTCGTTAACGGAAGTAATGACGTAACTCAAATGTCAACAATAATTTTGCTCGCGTTGACGCGTTTATAGTCGCGTATCAAAAATATGCCGCCTGTTAATGCTTTCGAGGAAACTTTCTTATATTTCAAGTATTTAGAGA